AAAGACCAAGTCGTCGACGTACACGAGGATGCAGAACGGCGGCAGAGAAGTGTCGGTGCGCAGAAACAGCGACGGGTCAGCTGTCGAAGGCGCAAACCCAAGAGCCGCAAGCGTAGTCCTCAGTGTGTCGTGCCACTCACGAGGCGCCTGGCGGAGACCGTAGACTGGCCGGCGGAGGCTCCACTAGGTACCAGGAGGGAACGACCCAGTGAAGTCAGGTGGGCGGCGCAGCCAGATCTCCTCGTGCAGGCTGCCCTGCAAGAAGGCTGTGCTGAAGTCAAGCGAGTGAAGCTCGTAGTCACGCTGAGCGGCAACGTGCAGCAGCACCTGAAGAGTGGTCATCTTCAGGGCGGGGGAGAAGGTCTGGAAGAAGTCGACTCCCTCTCGCTGACTGAAGCCTCGAGCAACGTAACGAGCCTTGAAGACAGGAGGAGAACCTGGCGGAACCCACATGCCATCGACGATGTTGTCCCCGGGAGGGGGAACCTCATCGACGTACGTGCCTGTGGACTTCCATGATGCCATCTCTGCGTCCATGGCTGCCTGCCACTGAGAGGAGTACTCACCCGCGATCGCCTCAGCGTAAGAACGCGGGGTGGGGATGTCTACAGCATCCGGGTCTCCCTCAGGGGCAAGCAGCATGGCCACGAGATGAGGCGCAGCGGCTGCGAGACACTCAAGGTCCTCGTGCCTGTCCTCAAGGACGTCTGTGCCAAGAGCACACTCACCCCCGACGGACGGAGGACAGACAGACTCAGACTCAGCAACAAGGCTAGCAGCGTAGTCTAGACGACAAGCAGCAGCAAAGTCAACAAGCTCAGCGACCAAGGCAGACGCAGCAGCAGACTCAAACGACGGGTCAGTGATAACAGTTGCTAGCAGACGCGAGACAGTAGGGTGCGCAGCATGAAACCGGTCAGACTCAGGGTCCGGAACGTCAGGCAGAGAAGACGCAGGAGGAGACGGCAGAGGAACAGACTGTGGAACAGAGGAAGGACGACGGACTACGAGGTGCGCGCCTGGGACAGGCGGCGAGCGCGGACGCGGAACACGATGACCAGAACGAACAGGCGAGACAGGACGCGACGCAGGCTCACGACGCTCAGTAAGACCCCCGGACTGCTCAGTAAGGAGAAGGAGCAGGCAGCGGGGAGCCAGGCTGTAACGGAAGACCAGTAGAAGACGGAAGACTAAGAAACTGGCGTAGCACAGAGTCAAGTGGCGGCTGAGACGACGGAGACCGCGGAGCGAAGAACAGTCGCGGCGGTGCAGTGCCACCAGCACCAGCAGCTCCAGCACCCCCAGCCGTCCCAGTACCTCCAGCACCTCCAGCACCCCCAGCTCTAGCTCCTCCAGAACCAGCTCCACCTGCAGCAGCACCCTCAGGCAAAGCAACGCCAGCCCCAGCAGCTCGAGTACCAACAGTACGAGCACCTCCGGGACCAGCGATGTCTTACCTCCAGTAGACAAAGAACCAGCACCACTCCCAACTCCAGTGACGTCAGCAGAAGCACCCCCAGCGGCAGAGCCCCGAGCTCCGGTAGCGCGACGCTGACGGCGACCGTACCAGTCGTGCAGCTGCTGGGAGGTGAGAGGCACACGCGGACGAAGGCGGCCACTCCAAGGAGACCGCTCACTAGCAGTCGCAGTACCGTCAGGCGTCGCACCCCCAGACTCAGCACCCCCAGACCCCTCACACTCAGGCTCAGCACCTCCAGGCTCCGCACCTCCAGGCTCCTCACGCGCAGGCTCAGCACCCCCAGGCTCCGCACCCTCAGGCTCCTCACGCGCAGGCTCCGCTCCCCCAGGCTCAGCACCCCTAGGCTCCGCACCCCCAGGCTCAGCACCCCCAAGCTCCTCCCCCCCAGGACCAGTACCCCCAGAGACATCACCACCTCTAGCAGGACCCGAGTTACCAGTGACCTCAACAGGCGCAGGCACGGGAGGGTCTACCTGAGAAACACCTGAAGGAGTAGGACCTGGCGCGGGGAGGGGGTCTACCTGGGGAGGACCTGGAGCGAGGAAGAGCGGCGGGGGGGTGCGAGGGGAAGTACGGTAGGGGAAGAGACGGTAGAAGGGAACGGGCTCATCAAAGGTGACGTCCTGAGACGCAAAGACACGGCGCGAGGTGGGCTCGTAGAACTGCCAGCCAGGCGCGTCAGAAGGAAAACCAAGGAAGACACAGGGAATGGCGCGAGCAGAGAGCTTGTCCGCGGTGGTATCGCGGACAAAGGCACGAGCACCCCAGACCCGGAAACGCGACGCATCGCCAACCTTCCCCGTCCACAGCAGTGTGGGCGAGGTCTCCGGCAAGGAGACACGGGGCCAGAGGTTGAGTTGATGCGCAGCGTACCGGACCGCAAACGGCCACAAAAAATGGGGGGCAGCCGCATGGATCATGGAGGTACGAGCGACCTCCATGACTAAGCCAATGCGGCGCTCAGCAACCCCATTCTGCTGCGGAGAGGCCGGAAGCGTGAACGACTGGCGGATGCCGTGC